AAGCCTGCCGTGTGATGCGCGCGATAGCGGGCGGAGCAAAACTGGTATCAGCATATGTGCCTACTGGAGCTTACTACAATGATGCTGTAGAGGAATTCTATGATATGCTGGAAAGGGCAATAAGCAATTCTCCAAAAGGAACTTACATCGTATGCGCTGGTGATTTCAATGCTCACCTAGGCCGAGGAAATCCCGAAGAAAACTTTGTTGGACCATTCGGAATCCCAGGAAGGAATAATCGTGGCGAAGCTTTGGCCCAATTTTGTGAACGATCTCGATTAGCTGTGGCAAATTCGTACTTTCAAAAACGCAAAGGACGTCGATGGACATACCATACCCCGAATAGGCAGATGTACTATGAAATCGACTTCGTTCCTGACCAATTGCCTGCGTCTTTTTCATAACGTGACGGTCATCGGAGAGTCGCATTTTAACATTGGTTCGGACCATCGAATAGTCAGAGCAACAATAGCAGTAAGACTCAAAGAAGAACGAAGACGACTGCCTCGTACCATTCGCGACGATTCGATATATACTATCCGAAGAAAGATTGAAAGCGCTCGCTCCTACTGTCGACTTTTCTGCGGAACATGGAAATGTGCTTGTCAGATACGAAAAAGTTGTCTCCGCCATTCGAACAGTTGTCAAAAATGCTTCTGAGCGCGTCCAAAGAAAACCAAGAGAACGATTAAGTGCTGTTACCTTACGATTACTTGGCAACTCGAAAAGAAGTGGGAGAAACTTTGACCCCGGTGGCCCGAACTGTATTGAACAAGGCTATACGATACAGAGTTAAAAATGATTATAAAGAATATGCAGCACGAAGAGCGCGAGAAGCAGCCGAAAAGTCGGCAAGTATCAAGAAGACATTTATCAGCACTCGCCTGAAAACAATCATTCCTGACTATTTAACGAAATCAGACGGCTCTGTTTGTTTTCTAGTAAGGTACAAGTGCAACTGTTCACGATGCCGTTTGAAAGAAGAAGATGATGTATCCGATAAAGAAGAATGGCGAGTTTTGGAATCGGAAGTGGCGCTGGCTATCCGGCAAGCAAAAGGAGGAAAGACACCCGGACCAGACCAGATTCGAGCAGAGCACTTAAAATGCCTACAAGAATATATTGCGCGACCACTAGCAGACATATTTACGGAAATACTTGCATCACGAACTGTTCCGAAAGATTGGCTTGGTTCCAACACTATTTTAATACATAAGAAAGGACCACGTGATGTTTTGGCTAATTATCGCCCAATAGCGCTTCTATCGGTGATGCTCAAAATCTTTTCACGCGTCATCCTGAATCGCATCCGTCAAATTCTCAATATGAACACATGCAGAGAGCAAGCCGGTTTCCGTGAAGGATTCTCTACTATTGATCAAATCCACGTCGTCTCTCAACTTACAGAAAGATGTCGAGAATACCGAATCCCTCTATGCTATCTTTTCATCGACTTCAAGAAAGCATTCGATACGGTTGAACATCAAGCAGTTTAAACGCCCTCATTGCTTTCGGAATTCCTCGAAGATATATTGAAATAATACAACAATGCAACACAAATTGCTACACTGACGTCAACTTACTCAAAAACCCGATCCGTGTCAAGATTCAGCGCGGAGTACGACAAGGCGAAGTCATTTCTCCGAAACTTTTCTCTGCTGCTCTAGAACTTGTTATGCAAAGTATCCAATTGCCTTGCGGCATTGACATAGATGGTGAAAGACTCCGATACCTGATGTTTGCGGATGACATTGTGCTAATCGGTAATGATCCGAGTGAGCTAGAGAACTCATTGGAGATCCTAAGCAATGCAGATCCTCTCGCTCCATTGGACTTGAAATCCACCCTAGCAAGACTAA